AATGTAAAACAAAACGAATTATGAGATACCCATGTCAGAATGAGTGACGGCTACATGGGGCTCATCAGAGCCCGAGGATCCAGCAGCAGAAAAGGCTCTGTCTCCAGCCACACGATGCACCAAAACATGAAGCCCTGGGAGGTAACTAACCAGCCTGGCTCTATTGCACAGCACCTGAAAACACACACACACACACACACAAAATCAATGTTAGCCTCTCTCACAAACAACTCCCAACCACAGTGTTTACTAAAGGTGTGTAGCACATTCACGCCTTCATGGCGAGAAGTCTGAACCATGAGTAAATGATAGAAACACCTGCCGGTATACTGCATGTGCAAAAGTTTTAACAAAAACTGCATATTAGAAACTTTATGATAAGAGGATTGTTGGTTTAGACTGTATTTTAGCTAGGTGTAACTCCTAAACTGTCAACTGAGAGTTAAATTATAATTAGAAGGTTGGCGGTTCGATCCCTGGCTAGCAAGATACTGAACCCCAAATTGCTCCTGATGCTGTGTATGAACGCCCTTAGTTTCTGTTTTTGATGAGCACTTATGGCTTATAAATAATATCTCTATATTATTGGGCTAGGCTGCAATATAAAATATACCCCTCGATATACATTTTCTCAAAAATAACATGCTGTAAATTCTCAAATAGTGCATATATGATCTTCTTTTAGAACATGATGCATTACTGCAGATTAAACTTCCCAACAGTATTATGGGTTCTCTGATCAGGGTTTTTGGGGCCAATCACGGATCACTGGAAGCAGCAATGGCCAATACCGATACCAATTACTGGGGCTATTTGGCGGGGAGGGGGTATATTTCTATCATTTTTGATTTCACCATTTTGAATTCTACTTAAGTATCAACATTATTTGAAGCCCCTGCCCCCGGCTTGCCCCGTCTGCTTCTCTCTCCGTGTATTACACGTATGTGTCTGCTCTGTTGACTTTGTCGGTCAGCAATATGTTTTTATAAAGCAGCCCAAGAAACACAACTCTCTTGTTTGTTTTGTTATATCACATAGCCCTAGCTGCCATCATATACATTGCTTGGCTCCAGATCAGACAGTAGCAAAATGCAATAGCCAGGTTTCAACAAGTAGAGAGTGATTGCTATGCCTATTTATTGCACAATATATAGAACTTAAATACTAATACTAAAATGTAATATTAAATACTAAAATGTCAAGATTTGGACCGGAATCTATCAACACTACCAAAAACCCATATACACAGATTTATAGCTGAAACAGGGGGCTTATTGTTATTGAAAATTGACAATACATGTAGAATTTGGAAAAAAACAGAGAAAACACAACCAAATACAGAAATGCTGCAAGTAGGGCTGCATAATTAATTGCAATGTTGCAGTAAATTGTAAATAAATTGCAGTAAGTGCAACATCCAAATGCCAGAAGTGACAATTTTCTGACAAAAGCAAAATGTCAGACAAAACAGCATTTTAATGAAGTACTATAGTTCTGAAGAGATGCCCTGGGCTACAAATGTTTTTCTCCAGATGTAAGAATGTTTGTTTGGTACAGAGCCCAACCAATATCACAGCAGCATGACTTTTTTGTTTTTTACCATAATGTGCAGCCCTAGCTGCAAGATGAAGAGACAATGGAAACTGTTTCAAGGGGACACAAAAGAAATGAACGCTGCTGGGACAACTTACATTTTAGTTAATTTTTTTACTGATAGCCTAATTCAACAACTTCACGAATTACAACCCATGGCAACAACAAGCGTCTTCATCACATTTTAGTGTCCCCTGGCTTCCGTTGTGCAATGTGTATTTGCTTATGTTTTGCAGTGTGTTGAGCTCTCAGGGACACCGTATACTCTCACAAATTAGTGCACACTCTTGACTTACAATGGCCATCCTGGTGTCCCTCTGTTTACCGTGTGTAGTGTCCAGTTATGTTAATGTAAATTATGAAGCAGTCAGGAATTTATATATTCTGACACGATTAAAGCCTAAAACCTAGAGAAAGAAAAAACAAGAAAACATGGACATTTTAAGGGAATTATCCATCAGATTGTGAGACCTCCGTTCCCAATATAAATAAATACACTACAAAAGTTTGAACAAGTAACATAACGTACCGGCATCCCTACTCGAACGGTGTTTAGCGCCGGCGTCCCTACCCGATCGACTTCCGGCTTGACGCACTTTCCGGTCTTTTCGCGGTACTTCTTGGCACACGATCGCCAATGAAAGTCCAATGAATTCTGTGAGTCTATATGTGGTGTTTATACTGATTCATCACATTTTAAATGTGTATTAATTAATCAAGGTACTTAATTGGGAAGCCAGAAGCTTTAGATGCGCTTGGGCGCGATCACAACTTTTAAAGTCTGTCTCTATTTTCACTAAACAGCTTAAAATACGCTCTCATATGGGTTCATATCGTAGCTAGGGTTACACTGATTAGTCTAGCCAATGATCTTATGTTTATACAGTCTGTGGTCGAGGTGGGCGGAGGCGATTTTTTTTTTATTGAAATGGAAAAAGTTACAGACGCGGGAAGAAGAACAAAGGAACAGAAAAAAAAAGGGGCAAAGCGGCAGCTTGTTTATTTGTATCTGTGAGTATCACAGTATATTGATCGGATTTACTGTAGAAGAAGCTATTCAGAGTTGTATCCTTTCGTTTATAGCTGAATTAATAAGTTTATTTTTTATCATAATTGATACGTGGGGTGTGTGTGTGAGAGAGAAGAAAGGAAAGGGGGAGGTGTGAGAGATGTTTGAAAAGCAGTAGCAGGCTCTTATGATGGAAATAATTGGTTATATAGACACTCATTATGAATTGGTAGGTGTATGTATAAAATAGTAGTGGTTGAAACTCAATTTTGCCTTTAATGTTTCTGGTCCTGAGAACAAGAGACAACAGAGATGGAGTCAGAGGAGGAGAGCAGAGAGCAGCAGAAGACAAGGAGGAAAGAATAGAGTGGAGAAGAATAGAGTGGAGACAGACAGGGGAAGAGAGGGACAACGAGGAACAGCAGAAGACAGAGGGAGAAGACAGAGAGAGGAGAAGGCGGAAAGAGAGAGAAGACAGAGACAAGAGAAGAGACAAGAAAGGAGAAAGACAGAGGAAACGAGAGGGCAGCAGATAGGAGAGGACGAAAGAGTACACAAGGCGTACGTGCGAAGAGGAGAAGAGAGATGAGAACAGCGTAGGAGAAGAGGAGAAGACCGGAGGGGAGAAGAGAGACAGACGAGGAGAAGAGGGAGGAGGAGAGAAGACGGGAGACGAAGGGAGCCAACGAGGACAGAAGACAGGAGGAGAGAGAAGGAACCAGAGAGAGAAAGAGATGATCAGAGAGACCTAACAAGTGGCTCAGACTGAAAGCTTGAGGACTCTCATTAAAATATTCTCGGAAGGGAATAGGCACAACCTGAGGGGAGTGGTTGACGAGGCACGCCACAACCAAAACACAACTGTTATAATACTATATAGATGTTCCAAGTAAATAATAATGTATATATCTTTGATTTATTGTATTATACTTGGAATACTTTGCTTTTTGAGAGAGAGAGAGAAGAGAGAGGAGGAGAGAGAGGATGAGAGGAGAGAGAAGACAGAAGAAGACATAGAAGGAGAGAGAGACAGATAGGGACAGTCCACGGCTTACTTATTTTATTTTAACATTATTTTCTTTCTAACAGACACATCACACACACCGCTTATATTTTACTTTATTTTAATTTTTAATATATTATTTTCATTTCTAACCACAACACACACCACACACACAAACCACACAACGTTATTACTGGTTTTAATTACACTTTGAATGACAAAAGCAGAAACGAGAGAGAGAAGAGAAGAAGTTGCCAGGGATGTGTGTGGAGAGAGAGCTTTGCTGTTTATTCCTTTATAGGTGCTTAAGATGGGTTAAAAAAAAAAGTTTCTCTGCTTTGGTGTTATAGTAATATATCTGTGCTGTATGCATTGTGGTAAATAATTTGGTGCTTGTTATGTAACATGAAATAAAAAACTAGAAAACTGTTACTGTTATTTCTGACTGGTAAAAATATTGCATCTTTTGTGCCCAGGAAGCTGCCCAGGGGAGAGGAAGAGTGGGCCCCGGAGGCCATGGGACAGGCTGGAGGAGGTGAAGGAGGCAGCTGGTCTGGGAGGCAGCCAACAAGTTTGGGGTCCTAACGAGCTGGTGACTGAGTCAGTGAGGGTGGCTCTGCTGGTCCATAGGTCCGAGGCACCATCTCCCCCTGGAGATAGAAGAAGTCTCCCATTGGTAGAATCATCCAAAATCCACGACAGCCTCATGGCCTACTGTCCTCTCCTGTATTAATAAATGGACAATGGCTCATCATCATCCAATACAGCTTCAGGATTGGGATTGTTTTATAGGAGATTAAAGTATTATACTTGGGAGGGAGGGGGAAGACAAGCGCTGGACACGCCGGAAGGCCATAGGCCCAGTTGTTGATGGCTCTAAAAGAAAAATCAGTATTTAAGTATTAAAATTAACAACAAACAATAAATCAGTTAATCACGCTTCCAGAGGAAAATTACTGCAAAAGTATATTAAATTAAATTAACATATAGTATCATAATAATATTGATGATTATTATTAATAAATTAATATGCTTGTAAATATATGTGCTTATAC